AAATCAATATTATTAATATCACGTGGGGGATGGAGGAGTACAGTAAGATATCACGTGTATTTATTTTTTAACTGAATTTAAAAAAAAAATCCTTAAAAACTCGTTCTCACGATTATTGGACGCCGCCTAAAGTTGAAAGACATAACAATAGTCTAGTTGCAATCAAAGAGTCCCCAGTAGACGTAGGTCAGTGGAGGTCCAGTGGTCTTACATTCAAGTTTTTGTTAAAATTCGATGTTGGGGTAAAAGTTCGATGTTGGGGTAGAAGATCGATGTGGTAAATTTTGGATGATACAAGATAAGGGGACGTCCATTAATTACGTGGAGTTATTTTAGAGGGAGGGGGGGTTTAACTTTAATTTGAAGAAATGTAAAAAAATGTTCTAAATTCGCATATTGCTAATTATCAAAATACTAAATATACTAATTACCAAAATACTAAGATAAAATATAAAATAAAATAAGTTTCAAATATCACTATTAATGTTTCATCTAGAAATTCTATAAATGAGAAAAAAACATTTGCTTAAGAGGAATCTTATAAGTCATAAAAGGTGAATCCCATAATCCTTAATGTGAATCTTATAAGAATTATATACATTCTCATAATTTTCCTAAAACCGAAAATTTGTTTAAAAAAATTTATTTCTAGTTTTGAAAAAATAAAGAAAATCTCACCACTTAATTTTCATATATCAAATAACTATTTTTGGCTACAAAATTCCCACTTTTTGAATTACAGTCTACTCTATTAGTATTAGTTGAATTACAGTCTACTATATTATAAATAAAATAGTCATAAAATTTTAATGCAATCGAAATCGATAATTGTTCTTTCATCACTAAAAGCATGTTTGGTATAGGGGTTGCACATTAATTATATTAAATCTTCGATATTTCGATACTAGACTAACAATAATAATAAATTAAAAATAATTAAAATTATAAACAAACGAAAATTTGATAGATTTTTAATATAAACATAGTACAAATTCGTTTTAAGTAAAACTTTCGGCGAGTTTATATGAAACATTTATTTTCACTTCAAGATTTTAGCCGAGTTGATCTATGGACTTATGTTGTTAGAAAACATTAATTCTAATCAAATTTGCCAAATATTTCATATATATTAGACAAACGGTTTAAAAGTTACAAGGGATATTATAAATGAATGCACATTCACCAAGGGTCGTTAAAATTACAATTTCAAAGCAACTTTCGTCAAATCTAATTTTAAAGTATACCGAGTTGTTGTAGGTATTTGTGATATTAGAAAATATTATAGATAATTTAATTTTGTACAAATTTGACAAATATTTCATGTATATTAGACAAACGGTTTAAAAGTTATGAGAGGGTTGATACATAATTGAATTTGTACAAATTACCAGAAATAACAATATGAAATATCCAAATAAAATAAAATATATAAATAATTATACAATACATTACCTTTAAGATATTATAAATATGAATCCAGGTCATCGAGTGTTCCAATAACATCTTCGAAATAAAAATGACTAGCTCTATCTATGAACTAAAAGTTAAAAGTAATTTTTTCAAACTCTTGGCTAGCCTAAAAGAAAACCAAAATGAAATATCTACCAAATATATTATTACCCAAATACATTATCACAACTACTATCAGGAACAACATCAACTTTGGTCATCGAGTTGACCAAACCATAATCCTCCTCTTCAGAAACAAAACTATCATCTCTATCCATGAAAATAACTTTGAACATACTTTGCAACTTTTCGATAAATTTAGGACACAAATTATTTCCTCTCAAATCAACACAATTAGCAATTAAGAAATACTGTTTATGGTAAATGGCAGTCAGGTTTTTGTTCCTTAAATTTAAAATGTTTCTTTCATCGTCTCCTGGATGGTAATTGTCAAGCCAGTTCTCGATGGACTGTTCGATGACCCAACGATTTCTTAGGTCTTTGTAATAACCCTTTCGCAAATGGTCGACTGTTTGCAGTTTTTCTAAAAGTTGAAGGGATTCTTCGTGGTGCTTTTTGCAGTCTAGGGCTCTCATTATTAGGGCTAGTGTTAATAGAGTCCCTGGGGAAAAATAGATAGAGGGTAATAGATTGTGAGATTTTTTTTAATATATATATATATATATATATATATATATATATTCTTACATTTACTATCAGGTTCCATCTCCAGTAAACTTTTACAGGCTTCCATCTGTGTCCCCAATTCGGACCTGACCCTGTCTCCAAATTTGGCCCCAAAACGCACTTTTTTGTAACCAATGCATTTTCCTCGTAATAAATCCACAACGTCCAAATCTAATTTTGAAACTATGTCGTAAGTCGAAACATTTACTAACTCTACAGAAAGTCCTGATAATTAAATAAAAAATTGTTATTAATAAAAATATTAAATGTAGGTGGTTATGGTGTTAGACAATATTATAGATAATTTAATTTTGCACAAATTTGCTGAATGTTTGATGCAAATTGGGTATATAGTTTGAAAGTTACAAGAGATATAAACAATGAATGTACGCTATTACATAATTGTGAAAAGAAGAAAAGTTGGTGCAATTTTTGATACTTTTATTAATTTTGATATACTTTTATCGATTTCGATATAATTTTGTATGCAACTGTTTAAATGTTTTGGCACCACTATAAATATAATGAAATTCTCTAAAAGACTGCATCAACACAATAATTAGTGTTGGAGCAATTTTTTTTGTATAAAAAATGTTCAAAAGTCAAAACTCGTACGCTATTAGAAATTTTGCTTTGTACCGAAAAAGTCGGTGTAATTTTTGATTCTTTTATCAATTTCGATAAAATTTTGTATGAAACTGTTTAAATGTTTTGGCACCACTATAAATATAATGAAATTCTCTAAAAGACTGCATCAACACAATAATTAGTGTTGGAGCAATTTTTTTTGTATAAAAAATGTTCAAAAGTCAAAACTCGTACGCTATTAGAAATTTTGCTTTGTACCGAAAAAGTCGGTGTAATTTTTGATTCTTTTATCAATTTCGATAAAATTTTGTATGAAACTGTGTAAATGTTTAGGCACCACTATAAATATAATGCAATTCGCTAAAAGACTGCATCAACACAATAATTAGTGTTGGAGCAATTTTTTTTGTATAAAAAATGTTCAAAAGTCAAAACTCGTACGCTATTAGAAATTTTGCTTTGTACCGAAAAAGTCGGTGTAATTTTTGATTCTTTTATCAATTTCGATAAAATTTTGTATGAAACTGTGTAAATGTTTAGGCACCACTATAAATATAATGCAATTCGCTAAAAGACTGCATCAACACAATAATTAGTGTTGGAGCAATTTTTTTTGTATAAAAAATGTTCAAAAGTCAAAACTCGTACGCTATTAGAAATTTTGCTTTGTACCGAAAAAGTCGGTGTAATTTTTGATTCTTTTATCAATTTCGATAAAATTTTGTATGAAACTGTGTAAATGTTTAGGCACCACTATAAATATAATGCAATTCGCTAAAAGACTGCATCAACACAATAATTAGTGTTGGAGCAATTTTTTTTGTATAAAAAATGTTCAAAAGTCAAAACTCGTACGCTATTAGAAATTTTGCTTTGTACCGAAAAAGTCGGTGTAATTTTTGATTCTTTTATCAATTTCGATAAAATTTTGTATGAAACTGTGTAAATGTTTAGGCACCACTATAAATATAATGCAATTCGCTAAAAGACTGCATCAACACAATAATTAGTGTTGGAGCAATTTTTTTTGTATAAAAAATGTTCAAAAGTCAAAACTCGTACGCTATTAGAAATTTTGCTTTGTACCGAAAAACTCGGTGTAATTTTTGATTCTTTTATCAATTTCGATAAAATTTTGTATGAAACTGTGTAAATGTTTAGGCACCACTATAAATATAATGCAATTCGCTAAAAGACTGCATCAACACAATAATTAGTGTTGGAGCAATTTTTTTTGTATAAAAAATGTTCAAAAGTCAAAACTCGTACGCTATTAGAAATTTTGCTTTGTACCGGAAAAGTCGGTTGATTTCGATTCTTTGATTCGTTGATTCTTTTATCGATTTCGATATAATTTTGTATAAGGCTGCATAAATGTTTTTGCATCACTATAAAGATAATAAAATTCTTCATAAGATCAATATATTAATTTGTGTTAGAACAATATTTTTTGTAAAAAATGATCAAAAGTTAAAATTGTTGCTCCTGCTACTATGCTGTACTAGAAACGTTGGTGTAATTTTCGATTATTTTATTAATTTCGAAATGCTTTTGTAAGAAACTATATAAATGTTTAACATCACTATAAAGATGATACAATTCTCTATAAAACTGCATCAACACATTAATTTGTGTCAGAACAAATTTTTTTTAAAAACAATGTTCAAATGACAAAATTGTAGCTCGTACGCTATTAGCAATTTTCGATAGACGATTTCGATATAATTTTGTATGGAACTCTATAAATATTTGTACATCACTATAAAGACAAAAAAGTTCTCTATAAAACTGCATCAACACATTAATTTGTGTTGGAACATTTTTTTTCACAATAACAATTCATTGTTATTATCGAAATTTAAATTCTTGGCCCTTTTATTTATTGCATCTCTTGTAACTTTTAAATGGTTTATGCAAAACACATGATATATTAGGCAAATTTGTTTAAAATTGAATAATAAACAATATTTTGTAACACTACAAAACCCTACAGCAACTCTGTATACTTTAAAATTGAAACAACAAACAGCAAAATAATCGAAATACGCTTAAAACGCATTCATATTTATTGTATCAATAACTAGCAAACTATTTGTTTGATCTAAATGATGTAAAAGACAAATTTGTGCAAAATTGAATTATAAATAAATTTCTCTAACAACATAAAACCCTACAGCAACTCTACAGACTCTAAAATCGATCATAAACTTGTGTCCAAGTAAAAAAAAATACCTTAAAATTTTTTGTTGTGAATTGAATATATTTAAAATATCTACCTTTACTCAAAACAATATCCTTGGCAAAAATTCCTTGCCAAAGTGTTTGCAAAAGTCGATCAGAGCTCAACATCGGGTTCCATCCGCATTCAACATCATCTGCTAATAGTAAATAATGAATTTAATTAATAAAAATTATTTATAAGTATTTTATTACCTCACCTTCATTTCCAACAAGTCTTATAATATATTCCCCACTCGTCGTACAATTAGCGTGTTTCGACAAAGCCACATGTAAAGTATTTTGGTACAAAACTGCTGAAACAATTTCTAAAGACACTTCTTGTTTACCTACAAAAAAAATAAAGTCCTTGAACAATGCAAAAAAATCAATCATCCTTTATTATTATTATTATTATTATTATTATTATTATTATTATTATTATTACCAAGGAGCCATCGTTGGTAAAACCAGGCACTGGAGTCGTTAGGGTCGGTAAAAGCAGCATTTAACACCAATTCTAATTCTTCTTGTAATTTGCTATCGCATAACCTATTTTCACTTCTGTCTGCATATAATAAGGGTAAAAGTTTGCTTCTATAATGCCATGCTGAATAATTGGAAAAGTTTTCATGGATTTTTTTGGTAGAGAAGCCCAATTCATCTTTGGCGGTCGTGTGGGCTTTGTAGACTACAAAACGTCTGTAATCCCAACAGTGGACTGAAAAAAAAAATAAAACTTTTTCCTTGTAGTTTACTAAATTTATATTATTGATGTATATTATTATATATCAAATGAAACCTAAAAAAATTATCTATAAATCTGTGTATTACAATTTATAAAGTTTCAAACAAAATTTTATAAGAACAAATATAAACATTGATGTCGAAGTGACTCGTCGTATATAATAAATTGAATAATAATAAATTTGTTTATCACTTTTATTAGTTTACTAAATTTATATTATTGATGTATATTATTATATATCAAATGAAAGTTAATAAAATTATCTATAAATCTGTGTATTACAATTTATAAAGTTTCAAACAAAATTTTATAAGAACAAATATAAACATTGATGTCGAAGTGACTCGTCGTATATAATAAATTTAATAATAATAAATTTGTTTATCACTTTTATTTGCAGAACAATTTGGGACGAGATATCGTTAGCTGTTACTTCTTGGACATGACATTTTTGCTTGTGTGAATTTTTGTAAAAAAAACATTTGTCGTAGGCCTATAATATTTCAAGAAGTTCTTTAGGCCTATTATCTTTATCATTTTGTAATGTACAAAGTTTTAGTAAAATCGACAAAAAAGTTTAGGACTTTTTGGTACCTTGATGTTTGCAATGTTCGTTATGGATACTAATTTTTTTTTGTAGTTTAGGTAATTGATATAATTAATATATATTATTATATATCAAATTAAAGATGATAAAATTGCCTATAAATCTGTATATCACGATTCATCAAGTTTGGAACAAAATTTTACGAAAAAAAATTATAAACATTGAAGTCGAAGGGACGCGTCGATAACTAATGTTAGTTCTATTGTTTGCACAAAATGGAGTGTCGATAATATTAGTTTTATATAAGAGCGCTTTTTTATATTTTTTCTTCTAGTTTATTAAATTTATATAATTGATGTATATTATTATATATCACATGAAAGCTAATGAAATTATCTATAAATCTGTATATAACAATTCGTAACGTTTAGAACAAAATTATTAAAAAAAAAAAATTATATCAAATTTTGCAATAGCTGTCGTCGATAACATTAGTTTCGTCGGTTGCACCTTTTTATTATATTATTTTATTATATTTTAATTATTATATTTTTATTATATTTTATTTTATTATAAATAATTAAAATATAGCAATAGTATTATATATTGTTAGAAAGCTATAAAATTATCTATAAATCTGTATATAACGTTTAGATACTCTTAGAACAAAATTAAATAAAAAAAAATTGTGAGGTTTAAAATTAGTACCTGATTATTAGTTATTTAGTTGCATTTTTTTTCATATTTAGCAATATTAAAATTTATTTAGAGTGTTATATATTATAATATATTATTAGAAAGTCAATAAAATTATTTACAAATCTGCATTTAACAATTTGGAAGTGTTAGAACAAAATTATATAAAAATAACATATTGAAGTGTGAAATTACTTAAAATTTGTATCTAATTATTAGTTTTGTAGTTATATTATTTTATATTTAGCAATATTCTGACAAATTTTATTTATAGTGCTAAATATTATAATATATAACTGAAAAGCCAACAAAATTATGTATAAATCTACATTTAACAATTTGGATATGTTGAAACAAAATTATATATAAAAATAATTCGTTGAAGTTCGAAATTACAATACGTAAAAAGTCCATATTGTATTAGCTTCAACGCTTTCGTTTGAAATTAAAATTATTTAATAATAATTGATATGAATATATTAACATTATTATACATCATTAAAAAGCTAATTGAATTAGATATAACTAGGTATAAAAAATTTTAGAACTCTTGGAACAAATTTGTCTAAAAAAAATGGTTAAACTTTGAATACTCTGTGAAAGTTTGAAATTACAATATTCATAAAACGTCCATATTGTTTTAGCCTCAACACTTTAGTTTGAAATTAAATTTATTTAATAATAATTGATATGAATATATTAACATTATTATATATCAATAAAAAGCTAAGTAAATTACCTATAATTAGGTATATAAAAATTCAAAACTCTCAGAACAAATTTGTCTAAAAAAAATGGTTAAACTTAGAATTCTTTGTAAACAAAATATATACTTACAATTTCTTTCATCCATTTTTAAATATTTGGTACAAATTTGCAATTCTTTTTCCCAATTAACATTTGGAGCATTACTGAGCACCCAACATCGATGGTGCCAAGCGCTATAAGACTTCGGATTGACTCGTAGACAACTTTCTGTTAAGGGCAATTCAGCATCGTAGAGCATTTGGGTCTCTGAGGTATCTACTTGGTCCAACCTATAAATATACATATATATATATATATATATATATCCATTTCTCCATATATCAATTATCTTACTCGTTCTGTGCAACCAAATGCTGCAAAACTTCTCTCCGTATATTCCAAAACGTATAAATATCAGGATTAGCACTCAAAGCTTGTGCTAACAAATTCATTAAGACTCCATTCAATTCTTTTTTCTCTCGCATTTCAAATATTTGACTACTGACAGCTTTGTAAGCTGCTACTTTGGCTTGTCGCTCTTTTAGTTTCCTCGCAGCCTCCTCTTCTGAAGATCTTGTCTTCACTCTCCCGTGCTGGGGTAAAAGACGAGAAGATATAAACCAATATAATAATTATAATAATATATATATATATATATATATATATATATATTGACTTGTTGATGGTTCTTTTAATGTTTATGTACTGGAAGTGTTATTCGTGTATTTTGTAGTGGTATTGTGTAAACATAGGTTAGTTTATAAATTTTTTTAAGTATTCTACTACTAGCAAAATTTGGATTCATATTGAAGTAAATTCAAGTACAAAATGTTATAATATTGCTAACAAAGTATATATAATACTATTATATGTATAAACAATAAAAACATAAGTCAATCCTTTCCATTTGCACAACTTCTACAAATAATTCTAATACTTACCATTTTAAATCAATTCTTTTAACTTCAAATAATTATTCAAAACACTTACAACAATTTAATATAATTTTGAACTAATTAAATCTATTTTTAATAATTATTTTATAAAAAGCAACTCAACATAACCTAAAAAAGTGACATTTAAGAAATGTCATCATTTTTATTCAGGAAACAAACCACGTGCTCGTAGTCCACGTGTTCGTCCAGAGATTGCAAACCTGTGTCTAAAACCGTTCAGATTCAAATTAGATTTTAATAAGAATCTAAATATTATTTAAAATATATATAGATATAAACAATATAGTAAATACTTAATATTTTTTATATAAAACTAAATGGAGCAAATCTGTGTTTTGCACAAAATTTGTTGGAGAAATTGATGATAAACATAAATATTATATTTATATTCAATTAGAAGAATTTATACTAAAATTTATTAAATTATTTTAGAGCCAATTATTTATATGTAAGTGTATTATAATATAATGTGTGTATTTATACTTAGTGTGGAGTTTATTTGCCTTATTATGTATGTTTTTGTTCGATTAAATCATTTTTATAAACCTTCCTGAAAAAAAATTTAACACAATTTTATTTTTAATATTTAAACGAAGGTTTTGTGTATCGTATTTTCAAATTATAACCTTCTACTATTAATATATTAATAGTACTAGCTAATTGAAGAGTCAACTAGAGTATTTTGTTAATTTTCAATCTGTGGATATAGGACATTTCTTCAAATAACTTTTAATTTTCTTCCAGTACATTATGATTTATATACGTTAGTGAAAACTAGATAGAATTTACTAAAATCAAGTAAAACCTGTTATATACACTTGTATATCAAAATTTTGCCTAAATCGTAGTTGAAAAGCAGACTTGAGTATTTTGTAATAACCAATATATGGATGTGGGACATCTTGTAGTTTTCTTCAAATAACTATTAATTTTCTTCTAGAACATTATGTTTTAGTAACATCAGTAAAATTAAAATAAAATGTACTAAAATCTAGTAAAACTTGTTATATTCGCTTGTATATAGAAATTTTCAATAATTTTCAATTGAAATGCAGACTTGAGTAATTTGTAATTAGCAATATGTGTATTTCGGACATTTTTGTAGTTTTTTTTTTCAAATAACTTTTAATTTTCTTCCAGAACATTATGATTGATATACATTAGCAAAAACTAGATATAATTTTCTAAATTTTACTAGGATTTGTTATATACACTGGTATATTGAAATTTTGCGTAATTTGTAGTTGACATCATTTTTGTAGTTTGCTTCAAATAACTATTAATTTTCTTCTAGGACATTAATTAGAAAACTAGACAAAATTTACTAAAATCCTATAAAACCTCTTATATAATAATTTTTAATTGAAACATAATTTATATACATTTTTATTACGTAGATAATTTATGTTAATAGCACTGATAAAAAATTTAATAACAAAATATTATTTCAATTTGTTAAAAGGTTTTATATATCTCATATCCAAATTACAACTTTCTACTATAATTTAGTTAATAAAAATTTGTTTGATATTGAAACATATTATTCTAGAGAAATCTCAATTTATATAAAGGTTAACCCCACAATACAATAATTTTTAGGTTTAAAAAATACGCTGAAGCATCTAGAATATGAGAAAAATATCACATTATTCAAAGTTTTATTTTTAAACTAAAATAGTAAAACATATCTAACAAAAATACCTACCTTTACACGAGTATGCTCATTCAAAGACCTATTTTATCAAACTAAAATTGTTTAATAAATTTTAATACTAAGTTAACACCTTAATGTAAGTATTTCTCAATCAATTTACCCATTTTTATTTTTTTTATCCATTATTTTCATCTGCAAGTCCACATTGCCCGAAGCCACCATATATATAAATATATCTAAATTGCCCCCAATAAAGTTTTAACAACACCAAAACAGGAACTTAAAAACTAAATGAAATGAATTCTTATTATTAAACGATAATCTTGAGATATCGGCAAAAGGTCCAATCGAAATTAAGGCCAGAAAAAATTTAATGTTAAAGTTCATGTTTGGGCAAAGAAATTGTGAAATGTAAAAGATTGTCTAAATCGAAATCGAAATATTGAAGAAGGCATTTCAACTTAAACAAAATTTGATATAGAAGTATATATAAATTAAGCACTAATTTTAGTAATTTTATCTAGTTTTAAATGGTGTACATAAATTACAATATCTAGAATAAAAATTTCAAGCAAAAGCAAAGCAAAATTGTTTCGGGGGTAATTATGAAAGTACTCAAGTGGGCAATTCAACTACGATTTTTTCAAAATTTTGATATAAATGTATATAAAACACTTGATTGCGTGAATTGCGTGAATTGAAAAAAAAACATAAGAAAATATCCAAATGTTACTAATATACCAAGCTTGTTCTCATAAAAACGTCTACTAGGTATAAAAATATTATATATTACTATAATATATTATTAGTAATCACATTCTAATTACTTCTACTTTTTATAAAAATAAAACAGATTGTTTTTATATTTAATTTGAAAAATAAACATTAAAAAACAACATTTGTAGCACCAAATGATATAATTAATAATTATTACACAAAATATATCAGGGGTACGACTTAAGCATTTTTACGCAAAAAGTAAAATATAAATTTTAGAACATTCTCAAAGTGTAATATAAAAGTGGTTGTATTTGGTTATCTATATTTAAAATAATATAATAAACATTTCTCATGCTATAAAATTTGTATGAATACTCTTGGCGTAGAAATATTCTTGCGCAACCTTTGTAAAATGTTTGTAAAATGTTTGTAAAATTTTTGTAAAATGGCTTCGTTTAAAAGCTCTTGTATATATATATATATATATATATATATATATCCATTTATACTCTGATGGATTATCTGTATCACATCTTCAGAGCAATAAAAGCTCACAAGCCCCTTCAATAAAAGGCATCATGCAACTCGACCACTTCTCGTCAGCTTTTGCTTTTTGCCACAAATATAAATATATACATATGTATATATATATGTATATATATATATATATATATATATTATATTTAAATTTGAAAAAATATTAATGGCCGTTTCTCATTCATTTATCTTCAAACTAAAATCTTAATGGAGCCGAACACGCGATTTCAAACATAAATTAAAATCATTATATATATTTGCATTTATTCATATATATATATATATAAACATGTATATTTTTATATATATATTCATATATAAATATGCACACACACACACACACACATATATATATATATATATATATATATATATAAATGGATTAATAAATAGTATCTTAATGATAATGTTTATTACTTCATTCAATTCGGTTGTTACCACAAAAACCCTTTAGAGACAGTTTATGTAATTTATTTCAAATACTTGTAATTTTCTTCTACGACTTTTAATTTTCTGCTAGGATATTATGTTTTATTTACATCAGTAAAATCTAGATAAAATTCACGAAAATATTGTGTAACCTGTTATATACACTTGCATATCGAAATTTTGAATAATTTGCAGTTGAAATGCGAATTTGGGTATTTTGTAATTAGCATTTTGTAATGTAGATTTGGGACATTTTTGAACTTTTCTTCAAATAACTTTTAATTTTTCTCCAGAACATACTAAACCGTTAACATAAATAACTCAAAATTAGATAAAATTTGCTAAAATTTTGTATAACATGTTGTATGCACTTCATGTTAAAATTTTGTGTAATTCGTAGTTGAAATGCGGACTTGTATATTGCAATTAGCAATATGCGGATTTAGGTCATTTTTTTCTTTAAATAACTTTTAATTTTCTAGATAAAATTTACTAAAACTAGATAAAATTTACTAAAACTAGTAAAACTCGTAATATACACTTCAATAAAAAAATTTTGAACAATTCGTTTCTGAAACGCAAACTAAGCATTTTGATAATTAGCAAGATGTGGATTTGGCACATTGTTTTAGTTTTCTCCAAATAACTTCTGATTTTCTTTCAGAACATTATAATTTATATATATATATATATATATATATATATATATCAGTAAAAACTAGATAAAATCTAGCAAAACTTATTATATACTCTTGCATATCAAAATTTTGAATAAATCTCAGTTGAAATACGGATTTTAATATTTTTTTAATTAGCAATATGTGAATATAGAACATTTTTGCCTCAAGTCAAAACTTTGTTTGCTCATCAGTAGAGTTCTTTTTCTATTACTATTACGCAAACTTTTCCATCACATCCGCCATTTGTCTAAAAAAAACTTTTCCGTGGCAAAAACCCATTAACTGTTCTGTTCATGTTGTTTTTTTTTCTTGTTTTTTATATTATTAATCACGAATTTTAATCTCACGGCCATCGGCATATCATTTGTGCTTTTTTGATGATGATAAATAAAGAGGCCGAATTTTATTACATTCAACTTTTAAAAGCCGACGAACAAAAAGTAAAATGGCCGATAGGAGAAAAAACATTTGGAATAGAATTAATAGTAATGGACGAGATAATAGTAATGGACATATTTTTATAAAAAGCTGTATTCTTGGTGATGATTGTGAAATTTTGTAGATTTTAATATGTGATCTTGAAGCTAGTATAATAAAGTGTGTTGTACACAAAATACAAGATTTTAGTACTGATATTTTAATTATACGAGCTCCTTAAAAATAACATTTTAATTACAAAATACTAAAGTCTAAAAAACTAAAACTTACTTGATTATTCAATTTTTATTCAAAAAGTATGTAATGTTTTATTGTAAAAATATGTAAGAAAGATTTTCCAATAAGACTCAATTTAAAAGCAAAATTTTCCAATAAGAATCCCGAAATGGCGGATGCAAACAAAATGCAAAATTTTGAACAAACTTTGTTCTAAAATAGTTTAATTATAATTTATATATTAAATACAAGTATTAAAGAATATACACTAAAATATCAGCATTCTAGAACAAATATTATGGTCTCAAGAACATTTTGAAAATAGTATTCTATTTATATAAAACTTAAATAGCAAAAATAATAAAATTAAAGGCAAAACATTAAAAATTATTTATAACGACATGATAATATTTATAAATAAAATTATTAAGCAAATTAATATTATAAATAATATAAATTCAATAAAATCATTAAGTTTTATAAAAACTTAATACATTTCTTTATAAAAACCAAAATTTATAACGTTTGTTTCATATTAAATATAAATAATTTCAAAGAGCAAAATGCCAATAAAATTAAACATTTTTATAATAATATATATATATATATATTTATATATACATATATATATATTTATTTATAAATACATATGTGTATATTAAGTATTATAATAATTATATAAATAATAATTTGAGTCAATTTTCATTATTTATTAACAATTTAAATTAAAGTTGTCACAAAGCTAAATTTCCTTAACAGTATACAGCGTTGCTTTTAATATAATATATATTTAATAATACTAATTAAATTTTTTTCATATATATAATTTATAAATAAATAAAATAATAAAACATAAATAAGCCTTGACGATCACAATTCCAATAATAATAATTTTCTTATATAATAAAATATAATAATACTTATACACTATAAATTACATAGTATAATTAGTAATTAACAAAAATATTTTTTTATATACAATAATAATAATTTATAAATTTAACCGTTTATAAATTAAACAATTTAGTAAAATTCTAAGACGTTTTCTTTATTTTAAAGGCAGATCTTTAAGTTAAAAGCAAATTCTAGCTAATTGTTTAAAAATTGAAGAAAAATTGCACAATTAAATTAAATTTGGTAAGAATTTGGGAACAAATAATTAATTTGTTTTAAAATTTATTCAAAATTTAGATAAAATTGTTTGTTCGGTTTTTGTGAGATTTTCCACAGAATCTGCAACGATATATAATTTAGTTTTAAAATATAAAATTCGTATTTTCAATATTCGTATATTCAAAAATAATAAGTTTTCATTATAGGTAAAACGTGTGTGTGAATTTTTTTTTTAAATGATTTCAAGACAATTCAAATTACTTACAGAAATTGCTTTACAGAGAAATATTAGATTAAAAATGGGAAAATATGAATATTTTTTTACTATATTTTTAAACATTGCATCTTTTTTTGGATAACTTAAATTTTAAATAAAATAATGATTAAAATGAAAAAAAAGAAAATGAAAGGTTTGAGAAGTATATGACGATATTTAACTAAAATTATCTCTTAACTTTAGTATGGAAATTTTTGTAAAATTAATATAATTTCATAAATAGTGCGAAAAATAATGTACTTATATATATATATTATATAATATATATATATATATATATATATATAAATTAGTACGACTCTAATTAATCTGGCATTAAGCTTTCAAATGGATGTTTGCAGCAAATATATATATATATATATATATATATATATATATATAAATTTCAGGCGTGGCTACGTTTTTCGTAGGCGTTCCCATAAAAACAGGTTTTCTACGTCGAAAAAAACATTCAGAAAACTTTTAAAATTATAAAAAAAACATAATAAAATTGCATTGTAAGCTTTAGTTAGTTCTACATAATTTTTGCTATTTTAAAGTCTTATTTATAATTATAACTAATTAAGAAACACTTATCACTTGTACAGAAACCTGGACAACTAATTCTTAATATATTTAAATTTTCACTTTTAGTTGTTTGTATAATATAATATTTAATTTATTATTTCACTAAAATGTTTTTATCATTATTAAATGTTGCACTTATTCACTATAAAATTCTTGTTTGTAGTAATATTTGTTATAAATACACTTTGTCCTAAATCACTCGTCAAATTGTTTGAATTTTTCCTAAATAAATTATGTGATTTTTTTCACAAAACTTTTTTAATATTAATTATACACTTTGTTCAAGCTCACTAGTCAAGTTTCACCTTTTTTTTAAAAAAACACTAGTGCCAAATTTTGCATTTTTTGTTGTTTATATACTAGTCAAATTTCTAGTCACTAGTTTCGAATTTTGCATTTTTTTGGTCAAATTTGTCTATTTTTCCATAGAACAGAAAAATAAAATTTGTGAATTACTATGCTTTAAAAAAATAAGAAATCAATAAAAAAAAAGTTTAATTTAATACCAATTTTTTATTAAAATCAATTTTGATTCAATAGTTACCTAAATATTCATTTTTCATTCAAAAATAATGAAATAATGATTTTCCAATAAAACTATTCAAAAGAAAGATTTTCATAAGAATCACGTAATGGCGGATGCAAACAAAATGCAAAATTCTGAACAAACTTTGTTCTAAATTAATTCTGTTTATAATTTATATTTAAAACACAAGTATTAAAGAATGATATACTAAATTATCAGCATTGTAGAACAAATAGTACGGGTTCAAAAACATTTTTAAAAGAGAGTATTTTCATAATAACTAGATTGACCCAATTCGCATTTGAACTAACTCAATAACGCTTTTGAACCCTGAATTATTCAAAAATTTAATATACAAGTGTATATAATAATTTACACTATATTTTAGTAAATTTTATCTAGTCACTAATGTAAACAAATTGAATTGTGCCAGAAGAAAATTTCAAGTAATTTGATAAGAACTAAAAAAATGTACTTGAACTGAAAATTATTATAGTGTAAAAGAAATTTCGTATAATATTAAAAGTATAAAGAAAATTATATATAATATTATAGAAAAATGCTTTATTTAAAATCATTCTTTATTATTAATATATTTTATCCAAGAGATATCTATTTTTCATTCAAAAAGAATAAAAAACAGATTTTCAATAGGACTCTATTCAAAAGAAGGATTTTTCAATAAGACTCAATTCAAAATTAGGATTTTCCAATAAGAGTCACGTATTGGCGGACGCAAACAAAATGCAAAATTCTGGACAAACTTTGTTCTAAAATAGTTCTGTTTATAATTTATATTTAAGACACAAGTATTAAAGAATAATATACTGAATTATCAGCATTCTAGAACAAATAGTACGGGTTCAAAAACATTTTGAAAAGACACTATTCTCACCTCACATTTTTAAATATTGGTTATTGAGTTTTATGTTTTTGGACACATATTTTATTTAAAGTTTTGCATTTTTATACTTTTTTTAAACACCATCAGCAGTTTTTTTAAAGATGACTTCATTCTTCTTGTAAACAAAAAATGTATCCATACTTTTTTATCAAATTTTGACCAAATTTACTACCAACAGACATTTTTTATATCATCAATAGTCTTTGGTCTTGGTAATATCCAAAAATGTTAGTAAAATACATTTTCACTAATCATTTTACCAAGAGTTTGTTAAAGACGTCTTTTTGGCCAACACCAAATCGTTGGCCAATAATCAATGGTCCAAACTTCATTTTATCTTTTTATTACCAACTGACACCATCATCAATCCCTTCATCTTGTCAAATTCCCATCAAATGATGATGGTCACCCAAATAAGAACCTCCAAGAACCATTTCTGAAGCACCAGAAGAACTCCCAGCCAAAGGTGGTTCCTTACCAGTTTTATTTGGAGGTTCGTCCAATTTCTTAACCTGTTTCCTTTCCTTGGCCCTTCGGTTTTGAAACCAGATTTTCACTTGGCGTTCGCTGAGGGCCAACATTTGGGCCAGTTCTGCTTTTCGCCTAATTGTTATGTAACGGGAGAATCTGAATTCTTTTTCGAGTTCTAGACGTTGGTGGTCGGAGTAGACGACTCTGTATTTGTCTTTTGTTCTTGTTTTGCCTAAAAGATAAAGGACATATGTGGTAAAAATTTTGAGAAAAATATATAAAAAAATTTTGTCATATAAAATTTAAATGAAAAAAATTGGTGTTAGTTGTATATAAATTTGAGTTAAGTTTCATGGCTTTACGTAGTATTGTGTCTATATGTTACTTTTGATGAGCTCGTGAGGCTGCACCAAGTGCACAAACATTTTGAAACCTAAATATGTTTTTCTTTAGTATTTTGTGCAAATACTAAAAATATTTTAGGTATATGTTATCATATAAGAATTTGTAGAAAACTAAGATTCGACTAAAGTGTGCATCAACCTTGTTTTATATAAAATTGGTTCGGTTTAAAGAGCTCCTCAGGCTGTACACTTAGTTGTAAGGTGTTGATGTTTTAGTATAATATTTTTAGATGTATTTTATAAATATTAAAAATAATTTAAATATATGTTGTCTTGCTATTTTTTTTTTAAATATTTTGGACCAATGTTATTGGTTATCTTTAAGTTCTTTTATGTTACATTGGTTTGGTTTAAGAAGCTCCTCAGGCTGTACAGTTTATTGTAACATGTTGATGTTTTAATATATTGTTTTTAAATATATTTTATAAATATCAGAAATAATTTCAATATATGTTGTCTTGGAAAAATATGCAAAAATTAGATTGAAACACTATTTGGTCATCTTTAAGTTCTTTTATGTGAGATTATTTGAACTTGTATTTGAACAATTTAGTACTATTTTTTTGTAATAAATTAAATTTTAATATTAGAAATTTAATAAATATTTTTTTCAATATTTTATGTAAATATACATACATAGTAAAATTTTACAAACATAGTAAAATCCTAGAAAATTTAATAAAAATGAAGATATTATCAAAATATGTATCGACGCTATATTATGTAAAATTATTTTTAAGAAGCTATAAAAGCTATAAGAGTTGTTAAAAGACTTTGAAAATTTAATATGTTATTTTTACATATACTATATAACTATTAATAATAAGAAAATAATATGTTGCCTTGAAAAAATTAATTTGAAAAAATGATTTTACTAGAATGTACGAAGGAGTTCCATTATTGCAACAAGTTAATTAAAAGAAATTATATGTTGCTCTTGTTTAAAGGGCTCTTCAGGCTATAAAGGTTGTTAAAAGATTTTCAAAAATTAATATGTTATTTATGAATAAATTATATAAATATTAAAAATGAAAAAAATATATGTTGTCTTGGAAAAATTTGAAAAAATAGATTCGACCACAATTTCGTCACTTTTAATTTATTTTATGTGAGATTCGTCTTGTTTGAAGAGCTGTTCAGGATATCACAATTTTAGCACGATTTTTGTCTAATTTTATGTAATATATATATTTTTTTATTATATTGTATAAATTCTAATATAATACTGGTATATATTGTAACAAAAATATTAAAAGAAAACAAAGATTTAACAATATTGAGTATTGGCGTTCTAGTACATGAAATTATTCTTTTTTAAAAAGATCCAAGGTCGTAAAATTTGTGGTAAGACTTTGAAAATTTAATACGTTATTTTGACATATATTCTATAAACATTAAAAATGAGAAAAAAATATGTTGTTTAAGAAAATATAATTTAAAAAAATATTTTACTAAAATGTGCATCAGCGCTCTATTATTATATATGACATAATTTGTAATGTTTTTTGAGAAGCTCCTTAGGCTATACAAGTTGTTTTAAAACTTTGAAATTTTAATATATCATTTTTCAATATATTATATAATTATTAAAAATAAGAAAAAAATATGTCGTCTTAGAAAAATTGCTTAAAAAAATTATTTGGCAAAATTGGCACCCATTCATATGTGCTCTTAGGGTACTTAACTTTTCCTAAAAAAATCTGTTAAAATTTTAAATAAATATTAAAAATAATTTAAAAAAATAACAAATATACAGTAAAAACTAATTGCATACTAAATGAATAAATAAGCTAGATTTAATAAACATTAAAAAAATGCAAATTATGAAAAATTATCAAGTTAAATCTCAGGAATATATTTATAGATTTAATTATTCCATATATAAATTTCATTATTTGTCCTTAAATAAATAACATATATAATATTATTTTAACAAAATTCTAGATTAAAAACTCATCCTGACGAGTTTGTCAAAAGTTTTTAAATCTCACATATTGTTTAAACCTGAAAATTTTTTTTAAATCAAAAACCAAAATTTTTACATTTATGCAAACATTTTTATTCACTTTTTCAATTTCGTGCACGAGTTCAAACAAAAACTCTTTTTATAATAATAATAATATATATTTACATCCATCAAGCATCATTAAATCTAATCCAAGGCAAAACTTACATACTAATAATATCAAAAAATCTCATAAACTAATTTTGTAAGGTGCTATATAATATTTGTACAATTTAACTAACAACGATATTATAAATGCATTATAAATAAAACTTAAAAAAAACTCTTAAGCTAAAATTTTAGTTTCTGTTGTGAACAGATTGATAACTTGACTAATAAGCTAAAATTTGCACATTAATAATAATTATTACATTGCACGATAAAGGATATATGATTTTATCAAATTTTTGGAACAAAAAACAAAGGATTTTGTTTTGTGTTATTTTAATATACTAAAAAATTTAAGTGTCATGAATTTTACAGACATTTAAAAAGGGGTGAGGTGTAAGGGGTATGCATCATTTTAATATTTGATATTTTTATATAGGCAAAAATAAAGCTTAGGGTTTGTGTAATACTAAGGAGGCCTCGCAGAGGTATTTACAATTTAAAAACTAAAAAAAAAAATTACAAATATATATATACATATATATATATATATATATATATATATTGTAGAGTTTCGAACAAGAATCCAAAAGTTATAAAAAACAAGAAAAGTTTTTTGAAAAACAATTTCTTCAATTTCAATTTCATTTTGATCATATTATTATATTTCTGTACATTATTATTTTTTGCAATTAATTTATTATTTAAGAAAAATCCATTTTCTTTTCTTAAACATATTGTTTGCTTAAATCTCATCAAGATCATGTTTCTTAACAGATGTCCTGAAGATGGAACGTAACTAGTTCCGAAACGTCGACAGTAAATAAATAAATAAAGAAAGAAATTGTTTTACAAAAAACTTTTCTTTTTTATTACTTTTGGATTCTTGTTCGAAACTCTACAAAATATAAACAAATCCAAGACTCTACCATTTAATATATATATATATATATATATATATATATATATATATTAGGTTGTCAAATATCTCCCTTCCGCTTTTTTGCTCTTGGTTTATAATACAAAAAGGCGGAAGGGAGATATTTGACAACCTTATATATATATATATATATATATATATATATATATATGTAAATATATATATGGGTAAAATTATTTGCCGCACACGAAGGCACTATTTTTTTAAAAATCAGTTTACATTAACCAAATTTGGTCCATTTAACACGTTTTATATTTTTTAAATTTAAAACTATATTTATAGTTTCTGATGACGTCATTTTTTAGTCAGTTTCTTTACATTTTTACACAAAATCAATTTTGGGGCGCAAACTTTTCCAAGGTGGAGACGCCAGGAGAATAATTTGTAGGAAAATTTTTCACTAAATTATTTTAAGGTAATTTTCACTAAAATATTTATAGCTTTTTTGAAGTCTCATTTTAGTAAAACTACACTGTCTTGGTATAATTGGTTCAGATTTATGAAGTTTCTGGTCACCGAAATATTCAAAATGGTTTTTGGTGCAAAAGTTTGGTCCAGAATCTATAAATTTGTGCCAGAAATGGCTAAAATTTATAATCACAAGTTTAAAATTGTCTCTGCCTATTTTTTCTTTATTCCATCATCTGTTCCGTCTTCAAATTTCCTCCACCGCCGCCAACATCCCTCTCAACATTTCCTTCAACATTACCACCAGTATTACCATTTCCTCCAGGAGTCTGACTCGCACCAGTCAAGCCAAGTGGAGAACTCCCCACCGGACTGATCTGCGTCGGAAAATAATGATTCATCCCAAACCCTCCATTACCATGATGCAATTGCTGCAAATACTGATGGTGCACATGACCAGACTCCAACCCCAAAATCCTATTATTATTTGCAGTCATTCCTGGTGCAGAGGTAGTATTGACTTCTCGTTTCTTGACCTTCCGCTCCTTGGCCCTTCGGTTTTGGAACCAGATTTTGACCTGGCGTTCGCTGAGGGCCAGAACGGCTGCTATTTCCGTTTTTCTCCTGATGCTGATGTATCTGGTGTATTGGAATTCTTTTTCGAGTTCCATCCTCTGGTGGTCTGTGTAGACTACGCGGTATTTGTCCTTGGTCCTGGTTTTGCCTGCGGGAGAAGAAATCGGATTGGTTGGCTTGGTTGTAATAAATGATGGTTTTGCCTGGTTTTTTAACTAAATACAGCACCTGGACTTTTGTAAACTACTTGGTTAAAAGATACTACACTTATGGTTATTGAAGACATTCATAGATAGCACTAGTTGTTTTTATGAGGGAAACACACACGGGGTTCCCTTTTGAACTGATTTTTTTCAAGCAGGGTTAAAGTCATTTTATTTTAAGTTTTTAATGCGATCTTGTGGACGCACCGTTTGCACTACAGACTTGTAATTTGGAATTTATATTCCTCAATACGTCTATTATTATATCAATTGATAAAATTATTAACTTTTATCGCAAAAATTAGGATATTTGTAACAAATTGATTAAAGTTTACCCATATGTACCAGTTCAAATATGGTTTGCATACTATTGTATGAGATTCTCAGGACGCACCGTTTGTACTACAATCTTGTAATTTGCAATTAGTATTTTCCAATATCTTAATTTAAGCAACAAATAATAAATTTACAAACATTTTGTTTGAAAATTGAGATATTTGTAACAAATTGATAAAAGTACACCATTAGGAACATATACAGAAATGTTTTGTATACTATTCAATAAAATCCTTAGGACGCACCGTTTGT